TTTACATATTACAGATTTTCTGACAACTGCATACTTGAAAAGTTGTCATATTACAGAATGGCCAAACTATTTACAGATGGCATCATTAGTTGTGAGACAGTAAATCTTGGACCTATCAATTTCCCGGTTAATATTGACCAATTAGAACGAACTTACTACGGAAGTCATGTGATGTGCTAAATATTATATATATACATCACAATTAACAACTATCTTTCTATATATCATTGTAATGGTTGCACTGCATATCATGTAATGTTATACTGAAGATCTTTATATTTATATTTCTACTTATCATTCAAACGATATGTCACAGGAAGTGTAATTACATATATAAAATAGAAAATTCAGCTTGTGTAACAAACCAGTTTTTTAAAATATCTCATTATTTTTATAACAAATTTAAACATCATTATTAATCAAAAATAAAACTACGACATTATAGCTTTCTAACGAGCTCTTTTTCATATTGATAGAGTCTCTCTATGTCAAGCTATGTTTATTCAAAAATATCATTACTTTTTATTTCAAAGCTAAGATTCTTTACCAATATTACCTTTATAAACTTGGTGAGTGGTTTAAAAGATGTAAAATATTGTAAGCTTTCATATAGGTATAGCTTTATATGGATTGTTGTTTATTAAATTTTAATGAAAATGGCAAAAAACTCCAAAAAACATATTAAATTTTGATAAACTTATTTATCAATACTATACATGCAACCCAAATTGGTTTGGTGATTTTGATGGTCAAAATTATTCCAATTTTGATGGTAGAAAAGTAGAAATTAATTACGGCATTCACTATTAAAAACATAAGTGTAACACCCCTTTACTACACGTGTAACCCCCTTTATGACAGTGTCAAAATACTTTGGGCTGCATGTATAATCAATACACAAAAAGGAAAAAATGTGGGCAGGAGATTATCAGGAATAATGACCAAAGATAGATAATTATTTTCCAAATGTGGTAATTTGGTTGAAAAACTTTAATACCAAGATTTTATTTTATTTTATTAATAACCTCTCCTAATTTTTTTCTAAAAGAGGAATAAGTCCTAAAAAATCTGTGACTCAAATTTGGTGGAGATTGGTGAGCAAAAAAGGGTTAAAATTAAGGTTTGTGGCTAATTTTATTAATAGAATTTCAACATTGATCACCAAAAAATTCCAGAAAATACACTTCCCAATTGTTTAATGTGACAAATCGTTCGACTAATATGAAGCACCATATCTTAATCAAGAAAGATCACCATTAAAATTTTTGGCAAATGGCGCAGCATTTGATGTCTTTAGATGCAGCGCACCATTGGGGTGGTTGGTCAAATATGTAGATCAAAATTATATATGGTACCATATAAAAATTAATATGTAGAGATTTTTTTTGCAGATCCTACAAAAAATTTAATAAATAAAAATTAACGAATTTCGAATTCCATCTCCTCCATAATTATCAAATAAACTATTGTTGAAAATTGCTATGAGAGTAGTTTATGGCCTATATTTTAAAAATATTGGCTTACCTTTTTTTTTTGTTTGTAAAAAATATTTTTCATTTTTGTTTTATTATTTTATTTTAAATCATTTTTTAATATAGTTTTTATAATCAAGCATAGTAAAACTAAGCTGATAAAGTGAATGAGTATGTGTTCTAAGCTTTCATTCAATACTATTTTCATGACCGTGGCTAAAAAATTCGTGGACTAGATAGATTTTGAAAATATTTGTGTGTAATTTTAATAAATAAAGATTTATGTTTTTCATTCATGAAAAAAAAAATAAGTTTAACTTTCTTTTTCATTTAGACTAAATTATCTTTGTAAACACCCAAAGTATCAAAACAAAAAGTTATTGAAATTATTATTTTATATAAATTACTAGATTGGTCTAAATAACTCTACAAACCATATTTATTAAAAATAAAATTTGTATTGTTTTGTAGCTTAGAGTTTCCAAAAATATTCACAATATTACTGTGATGACTAGAAAAAATAAAAATTGGCAAAAAATCATATTATTTGCAATTTTATTTAGAAAATATAATGTTCATTATTAGTTTTGAAATAAATTGGAATATAATGAATTTGCATAATTTTGACCATAATGTTGTTGAATATTTTCTTGTAAAACATTTAACTTTTGTCTCTTTTGTTGAGCTCTGATTTCATTTAAATTATTCTCTATATTTATCTTATCAATTGGACCATTAGTGAGTTGAATTTTAGCTTTTTTAGTATTAATTGACATATTATCATGTGTTTTAAGATCTAATTTGTTAAATAATCCTTTGACTTGTTGCTGATGAATGATTATACAATAAATTTTTTCCTTTACAAATGAATATGGGTTCCATGCTAACAAAAAGATAGTTCGGGAAAAAATGGGGTTTTTGAGAAATCAGCTGATTTTGTTTTTC